ATACACACACACATATCAACTCCCTGTAAACACCCTGACTTTTGCCTGCATAAACATTCACATTTTCTCCAGAAATTTAAAAATGTAGTTTTTGTTGGTCTTTTCTAGTGCCGAGTTTGCTCGTAGAGAGGATGTGGCCAAACGTGCCCTCTTCATCAAGGTCCTGTACAACGATAAAGAAGTTTCCAGAACAGACAGTCGAACCCTCAACATGGATTTCAGAGTTCACTTTGGTCAGATCTTCAACCTCAAGATAGTGAACTGGCCAGAAAGCATCAAACTGCAGGTACGGCTGGGTTGGGTTGTGTGTGCATTCACACAAATGCATTGCTGTTTGTCTGCTTGTGTCTGAAACGTTCTGGATGTTGTCTCGCAGGTGTTTGAGAGTGTCGGCTCGTCCTCCTCCCTGCTGGCTGAGGTGTGTGTGCCGGTTCCAGAATCTTCCATCCTGACCGGCAGTGCACCGTTTGAGGAGATGGAGTTTAGCAGCAACCAAAGAGTCACGTTCAACCATGAGGGGGTCGGCAGTGGTAAACATCTCTTTAAACCTTCCTAAACAGATGTGTCACCGTCATGAGTCATGAAGGGAAAGGATGCAGGTTGTTTTATATCTTGTTTGTGGTAGGTGTTCCGTTCTCTTTCGAGGCCGACGGCACTAACACGCAGACCCTGTTGACGTCAGGGAAGCTCTCCTGCTGCGTGTCATGGGCTGTAGGGGAAGATGACTCTAAACTTGACTTCCACACTTCGGGGGGGTTAGTAACAACAAGCAGTACAAGCAGTCCAGTCATTCGTCCTTCCGATTAACAGTTTATTTTCCTTTGTTTTCGGTTACAACATGCACGCACATTACCCAAGGCAATACAAAATGGAAACAAAATATTAAAGTTGCCATAACAATGGTTTTATCTTTTTAGGAAGTATGTACCTGTAAGTAGTTCTTATATTGTCAGGGAAGCTCTCCTGCTGCGTGTCATGGGCTGTAGGGGAAGATGACGTCCCCCTCGCTCCCCCGTCCAGTCAGCCTGGAGGGGGTATGTACAGGTCAGAGAGCCAAATTGAGATCCAGCCGTCCATTAGCGCATTATTTTCAGAGTTGTGCTGGATAAGATGCACTGTTTTCTCTCTCTTCAGTGGTCTCAGGCAGATGGACGCTATAGCATGTATTGGAGCATCTGGGCTGAATGACATGAAGAAATTGGGGAAGTGGGCGGCTGAGTCTCGCCTCGACCCCAATGACCCCAGCAATGCTTCCATCATGCAACTACTCTCGGTACATACATCCCCAAAATTCTCTATACAGCTTTTCACCAGACAAATGTCATGAATAATGTACCTCCATAATAATTGTTTAATATTGTCTTTACATCATCAAACTACTCTGCGCCTCTAGCATATCTAGAAAGGCATCTGCCAATGAGCTTGAAGATTCTTTTCAACATTTAGTTAAATAAATGAAACATGCAGTTTAGTCATTATAAAAAAAAAAGTATTTGACTGCTCAACACCACAGTAGAGAAAACCAATAGGAGTCTAGTATTCAGGAGCGCTGTGTTTGTTTTGATGTCTTATTGTCTCTGTAGGTGGTGAGTGGTGGAGATGTGGCGGTGCCTGAATATTTCCGCCTGGAGCAGCTTCAGGAGGAGTTTAATTTCCTAACCGATGAGGAGCTGCATCGTTGCCGTCGCTTCCGTCTCCTGAGGCTGCGGAGTCAGGAGGTGCCAGAGTTCCGTCACTTTAAATGCGTCCCGTCCATGGAGCGGGAAATATCTGAAAAAGTGTTCCAGGTAATCTCACTTAACCTCGGTGAAATCTTTCTGTGTCCTAAGATTGTCCAGACTGGATAAATCGCCAAAGACTTCAAAATAAATAAATAAAAATAGACTGTCCAGACAGGAGCCAAAAATTACACTGCAAGACTGAAAAAATTAATTCTTATAATTTATTGTAGCACCACCTAGTGTCGAGCAGATGTCTGTGCATGACATTCGTGACATTTGTAATAATAGTTGTAGAAGCCTACAACTCTAAACTTGACTTCCACACTTCGGGGGGGTTAGTAACAACAAGCAGTACAAGCAGTCCAGTCATTCGTCCTTCCGATTAACAGTTTATTTTCCTTTGTTTTCGGTTACAACATGCATGCACATTACCCAAGGCAATACAAATATTAAAGTTGCCATAACAATGGTTTTATCTTTTTAGGAAGTATGTACCTGTAAGTAGTTCTTATATGAATTAAATATGTGTAAGAATAAACAGCTGTTTTGTGTAATAATCTTGTTTCAGGATTATGAGAAGAGACTAAAGGAGGGCGAGATTATTGATACCAAAGAACACATTGATGCACATCGAGCCCTTGTGGCCAAATATCTGCAAAGAGTGAGTGATGAGTGAAATTTAGCTGTGGAATAATTTCCTTACTTGCACTATTGTTCAAAAGTTTGGAATCTATAAGATTTTTAAAATGTTTTTGAAAGAAGTCTCTTAAGTAAACAGTAATAGCACGTGCAGCGGCAGCCTCCCCCGGGTCCTAATGCCCATTCGGTAAGGAGTTTTAATTCCGTAGGGAGCGCTGTTGGCCTACTTCTAATGAAATTAAATTAAACACACAACTAAACACAAATAACATTTAGACTGTGTTTCTGATTAAATAGAGCCGTAATTGATGTCATAAAATCATGAGTATATTTTGATTTAAAGGTCAAGCTATAGTTTACACAAATAAATAAAAAATCATAAACATGACACTTGCAAATTAATAATTATATATGTATACTGATTTATTCATTAATGTGTAATATGTTATATATTTTTAAACAAATTATGATCTCTAAAATATTTTCAGAATTTTTACAACTCTTTTGCTTTAGACCATCTACAAATGTTAAATCTTAAAATAAAATGTTAAGGTTAATACTGCATCTTTCTGAAATAAAAATGCAGCGATTGATATATAGTTTATTTATAGTTATTTTCAAATTTTCAATGTACTGTAATTATAAAATAACTTTATTATTGTTTATTTAATTCTAACAAATAAGTTATTGTTAAAAACTAACCAAAATTAAAAAATATTTTGCTTATAATTTCTGCACAGGAGAGACTTGGTGTTGTTTCCAAACAAAAGGAAATATATCGGTATCAGCATCGGCTATCGGCCAAAATGAGTTGAAAAATATCGGCATATCGAATGTCGGCAAAAATCCAATATCGTGCATCCCTACTATTTTAATATATTGTAAAATGTCATTTATTCCTGTGATACAAAGCTGTATTTTCAGCATCATTTCTCCAGTCTTTAGTGTCGCATGATCCTTCAGAAATCATTCTAATATGCTGATTTGCTGCTCAACAAACATTTCTGATTATTAATATCAGCTGTGCAGTTTAATATCTTTGTGGAAATCTTGAAACATGTTTTTTCCAGGATTATTTGATGAAAGTTCAAAAGCAGATGTATTTCCAAGAAAAAAAATATCGTCTTATATTCGGGACAATACGGTATTTTAAAGAATACATCTTTTGTAAGATTATTGCCTACTGTCACTTTTGGCCAATTTGATGCGTCCTTGCTGAATAAAAGTATTAATTTATGTTAAACAAAAGCCTTACTGACCCTAAATATCTTTATCTTTCTTTATCTTTATGTTTTAATGATATAAAAGCAGTGAACAGTTATGTGTGTTATATATACGATAAGCGTGGTATGTATAGGCTGCAGCAAAGGTTTGTCTCTCTGTCTCAGGTGCGGGAGTCAGTTATTAATCGTTTCCTCATAGCGAAGCATCATTTCATCCTGTCCGACGTGGTTTCGGAGGACGAGGTCCCCAGCATCGGGTAAACAGCTCTACTGTTGATCTAATTCACTACTGCTGACTTTAAATAGAGGCTTTCTGAAGGCAGACTCATCTTTAACAGTCCACCCACTTCTAGATGTCATATTCAGATATGGTCTGGTACACATGCTGACTTTTTGTGTGAAGCTAAATCCAGTTCATTACATTTGATGATGGTTCTATTGAAGATTAGCATGTTTGATTGCAGTTTATGCCATCAGCAGTCTTTAATGACTGGATTGTGCACAAACTGCAGAGAACAAGAGGCTTTGTTTAATCTTGAATCGGTATAAAATGATGTTTATTTGACAGTTCCTGTCTTTTATTTCTCTCTTTTTTTTTCTTTCTCCTGTACGTTTGTATATTCAGTGGTCCAGGTGGTGGGTATGTTCTGAGGACTTTCTGTTCTGTTTTCAGTCTCCCGTATTCCTTTATTTTTCTTGTGTTCCTCCCCTCAGATCTGTGTGTTCATGAGGTGCCATTCTCTGTAGAGTTAGTCAGTGTAAAGTATGTGTGTGTGTGTGTGTTAATGTGGAGATCACACACTCAGAGAGTGGTTGTGTGTTTGATCTGCTGGTGAGTACTCATAGTGAATGTTTAGAGCAATTATGTATTTATTTACTCACACTCATGTTATTCCAAACCCATAAAACTTCCTTTCCTTTGTGGAAGACTAAAGGAGACGTTTAGCTGAATGTTCATGCTGCTCTTTTCCATGCAGTTAAATTATACATTGACCAGGGGCTGTCAAACCCCAAATGCAACAAAAATAGTCTAAAACATTATAAAATAATAAAAAATTGTGTGAGGAACAGACTGAAAGATAATCTTCTCCACTTTAGCTTTCACAGCCATAGTGATATTCAAAGCAACAGCATGATCGTGAGTGTATTGCTTTTATACAGCAGTTCAGCAAACAAAAAGTTAATATTGAGTAACTTGCATTTTAAGCACAATATTGCCAGTTACTTGGTTCCACCAACAAAAGAAATTCCAAACAAATTTAGAGCAGTCAGTGGTGATTCATTCCTGAATGAATCAGTTTTTTCAAACAAGTAAGTTAAGTGCATGATTCAATGACTCACTCATAAAAATAGTGGGTCTCATTAATCAGTAAATATGTAGATTGTTTATATTTACACACAGGAAATCATAAAAACATTTGCCCCAGGTTAGTAATTTGCATAAAACACACGGATTTGCATAAAATACAGAGACTATCTCCATATAAGAGGTTCCATAACCTCTCCTTTATAGCCTTTTGTTACTCTCAGTACGTAAACTGATTAATCATGATATGTTCATGAAAATCGTTGTACTCAGACGGTACGTACACATTCGTGCATATGCACAGTTATTGAATGAGACCCAGTCACTTCCAGAATGAATCAGTTTTTTGAGTGAATGATTCAGTTGACTCACTCATAAAGAGTCGCCATCTACTGGTATAATGACGTCACCTACAGAAAGAGTCACCGATGACTCTCCATCACTAATGTACTGACTGACTGTCCATCAGGAACCTGTTCAACATCAATAATTGATATGTGTTTTGTGTTCAGGATAGAAATAGAGACTTAAAACCAGTGCACTTTATGTGAGGCTGATGAAGTCCTGTCTCAGTGTCTATTGTTCACGTTGAACATTAACTCAGATCCCTCACTAATACCGCAGTGTGTTATGGGGTATCTCCACTGACTCTCAGCTGACGCTCTTTCAGGCTGTTAGGCTGGAACCTGTTCAAACTGGCCGAGCCCAAACGGCCCCTGAAGCCTCGCAGGAAGGAGAGGAAGAAGGTGACGGCTCAGAACCTCTCAGATGGAGACATCAAACTCCTGGTCAACATCATCAGAGGATACGACATCCCCATCCGCAGACCTTACGCCAGGTACCTGTTTCTGCACTTCCATAAAAGCTGACCAATAAGAAGACACTAAACAATCACTCATTCTCTGTTGTATTTTCAGCAAACCCCCTGTGTCGGCTAAGTCTGGGCGATCATTCGCAGAGCCGTTTACAGCTCCTGTGTCGTCCCATACACCCCAGCAGGGCAGTGAGTGGCCCTTCGGACAGGTAACAGCACCACACCTGTACCTTTACCTGAATATTATTTGACTGTAACTGTATGTATTCATGTACTGTGTGTGTACTGTAGCCTCTGATCAGGCCGTTTGTGGAGGTGTCTTTCCAGCGATCAGTGCTGCAGACGTCTACCGCTGACGGTCCAAACCCCTGCTGGAACGAGGAGATTGTTCTGCCATTCAGGTCAGACTAAAACCTACAGCACTGACATGAAAAGCCAGTATAACTTCACTACAGCTCTATTCCTGAACCGAGTGAAGTCTTGCTGTCTTCAAAGGCAGTCTCCAAACTGAAACAGAACCTCATAAGTAGCTCATATTAAATGCTCTACAAAGGCAGTGACTCCGAGTTAAACTAATGGCACTCTTATCCACCTTATTCTTCCTGTAAAAATGGGCGGGGCCATTTGTAAATTGTATGGGTCTTGTTTCCGGTCTCATTCGCTTCCAGCTATATTTAGCTGTACAAAACCACTCGTTTTGCTGCTTGATACTGCAAATTGGTGTCTTACCATCTTATTTGAGTGTATAATCTTAATTATGAACACACTGGTTTGTAATGCAAACAGTTGTACCGTTTACTGCACATTGTTATTCTTGTTATTTCTCTATAGCGGCTAATGAACCGGAAGTCTTGCCCATAGGCTTACTTCCACGTTTAGCAATAAGGTGGATAAGCAAAAAAAAAAAAAGGTACATGGGTAAATGGGGGTATTTGTTTTTTCTTTATTATACTCCAGTATTGAATAATGCATCAATATTTTAAAAGTAAAAAGGTATAATATTGAATACTTTTATACTTCTAGTTTTTTATTCTTAAAGGGGTCATATGATGCTTTTTTAAAGATCATTATAGCTTGTAACACTCCAAAGAGAAAGGAAAACTTGAAATCGCATCATATGACCCCTTTAATATTCTCCAGTATTGGATATGAATGAATCAATAATATATATTATTTCTTTAGACAAAATATCATTTTCATTTTTTTCTTGATGTGCTCAATTGTTGAAGCAAAAAAACAAAATTTTAATAAATTTACATTAATGATGTTTATTATTGATCTTGATAAATTATAATTTCTTTCATTTTTATTTTTCTTGATATTTTCTAGTATTGAATAAGAATAAGAATGTTGAATGAAGCATGAATATTTTATTAAAAATAAAAATATATATTATTTATCTTGATGAATTGTAATTTTGTTTTTCAGTATGGAATAAAGCATTAAGATTTTTTTTTAAAATAAATTTACATAAATAATAGTATGTATTTATTTCTGTTGAAAAATGGCAGTTTTTTTTTTTCATTGAGCTTGTCATAGTGTATTCTGTGATGTGATACTGCATTACAATTAGGCCAAAAAATTACACGTCTTAAAAGACAGCATAATGTTCCTGTCTAACTTTTAGAACAGCCCTCATGTTAGGAGTGTGCCTATGATACCTTGAAATGCTGTCTTGGTAGGAAATGTTAGTGTTATCACATTGAGTTTCAGTATTGCATGGTGTGAATCAACGGCTTCCCCTTTATCTCAGTGCTCCAAACGGAGACTACAGCTCCACCAGTCTGCAGTCGGTCAGAGATGAGGTCTTCATCAACATCTTCGATGAGGTCCTCTATGATGTAGTGGAGGTGAGAAACATTCTGATGTGCTTACGGATCATTCCCAGAGTCATTTTAAGCTTCCCGATGTGATGCTGACCTGTCTGTCTGAACTCCATCAGGATGAGCGGGAGAGAGGGAACACTATTCACACCCGTATAGAGCGGCACTGGCTCGGCTCCATCAAGATCCCCTTCAGCACCATCTACCTGCAGTCTCGGGCAAGACACCAAACACCAACACTTCATACAGAGCACATGACAGTTTCTACTTGTGTACAAGTGTTCGTGTATAATGGAAATATGCTCTAAAATAATCCTGCTCCCCTCTGATAGGTTGACGGAATATATCTCTTTTCAATTTGATTATTATTTATTTATTTATTTTGTAATCAGTAAAGCTGAAACTATTCAGGTTTGATTGATTGTGATCTGTCTCTATTATATGATCTGTACATTATGTTTAGATTGATGGGACGTTTAAGGTGTCCACTCCTCCAGTGCTGCTGGGATACAGTAAGGAGCGCAGTTTGGGCAGTGAAGGTGGATATGACGCCGTCCGCAGCCGGAGTGAAGGAACCTTCCTCAGCCTCTTCATCACTATTGAACCCCAGCTGGTTCCTGGAGACACCATCAGAGAAAAGGTACAGCAGAAAAATCTGCTTCATTATCAAGTGTTATGTGATGACAAAAAAATATTTTTTATAGTGCTTTGAAGTGATTAATCGCGATTAATCGCATCCAAAATAAAAGTTTTTGTTTACATAGTATATGTGTGTACTGTGTTATGTATTATGTTATGTACTATTTATTATGTGTATATAAACACCATGTAAACAAAAACTTTTATTTTGGATGCGATTAATCGCGATTAATCAATCGTTTGACAGCACTCAGTTTTTATGTTCATAAAAATAGGAATTTTATTATTTTTTGTTCAATATTGATTTTTCCTCTCTGTCTCTCTTTTTGACTGCTTTTAATAGATGAAGGAAGTAAAGGTAACATATTTGGAGTCTGAATCATGTTTATTTACAGTGGAAGTCTATGGGGAAAAGCGTTGTACTAACATAAACATTGAAATGCACACTGTTCTCAAAGTATCACCAAAATGCTCAAACCTTTATGCGTTAACATCATACCAGTGTGATACAATTGATTACTAACCTTTACTAAAGCCAGTAAACTGGGGGATTTTCGCATGATCTGCAGAAAGGATGCAAGAAAGAGACTGTTTACATGGAGAAAAATCTGCTGACGGTAACCAAGAACCGTTGTCCCACCTCTACAAGGACAGTATAAAACACTTCATAGCTTAAATATAAAACATTTGATGTGGAATAATGACTAAAAGTGCTTTAACAAATACACAAGATGCTCATTTCTATTGTCTGGCCAGAATGTCTTGCCCCACAGACTTCAACTGTAAGTGATTGTATTACTGTAAACATGATGGTTGTTTGTTTTCACAAATGGAGAAAAGAGTCAAAAGGATTTTCTGTGGTAATCGACAGCATCTGTGAGCATCGTACAGCTTAACTTGTATTACATGTAGCTTAACCCGAGACATTCCTGTAAGTATTGTCTGTTTAGTGGAGTTTTGTTTAGATCAGGTTTAATATCTCTCCATGTCCAATTTACTGTTTATACATTTCCATTCAAAGGTTTGGGGTCAGTTAATTAATTATTATTATTTATTTTTTTTTAAGAAAGAAAGAGAGAAAGACAGAAATACTTTTATTTTGCAAGGGTGCATTAAATTGATCAAAAGTCACAGTAAAGATATGTATAAAGTTACAAAAAAAGACTGTTTACATGGAGAAAAATCTGCTGACGGTAACCAAGAACCGTTGTCCCACAACTACACCGTTTTCATACAAATGTTAATAATAATAATGAATGTTTGTTGAGCAGCAAATCAGCATATTATAATGATTTCTGAAGGATCATGTGACACTTAAGACTGGAGTAATGATGCTGAAAATTCAGCTTTGATCACAGCAATAAATTACATTTTACTATATATTCACACAGAAAACAGCTATTTAAACTGTAAAAAAATATTTCACAGTATTACTGTTTTTATTGTATTTTGATCAAATAAATGCAACTTTGGTCTTCTTTCAAATACATAAAAAAAAAAAAAAAAATCTTACTGAGCCCAAACTTTTGAACAGCTCAATTTATTAATATACAGTAAGGGAAACTTCAGTGTAAAATCACTGTTTCATGACCTCTGACCTCTCTCTCCTCTCAGTTCGACTCTCAGGAAGGTGAGCGTTTGTTGATAGCGAGTGAAGTGTTTGAGAAGGAGGCGAGTGGGCGTTTCCCCGACCGGCCCTGTCTCACTACCGTCATCGACATCAACGGCAAAGCCGTCTTCGTCACACGCTTCATACGGCCTCTGACCCCTCCGCAGGAGCTGCTAGACGCTTTCCCGAACGGCCCTCAGGAGACCGCGGTCCGTACACACACTCTTCAGACACCAGCTCATCTGTGTGTGTTGTCTTCTGCTCATCCTCTCCTTCGGTCTCTCCTCAGGAGTTGGTTGCGCGATATGTGTCGCTCGTTCCTTTTCTTCCAGACAGCGTGTCTTTCGCTGGGGTTTGTGACTTATGGAGCACGTGCGATGTGAGTAAACCTGGACGTCTCTCTTGTTTGTTTCTGTTCTGTGAGATATATACACTTTTTTTTGTCTGATTTATGCTGTTTTAGCAATTCCTAACGTTGCTAGCTGGAGATGAGGAGGAGCATGCTGTGTTACTCTGTAACTACTTCCTGTCGATGGGGAAAGGGGCGTGGCTTATCATAGGCGTCGCCATTCCTGAGGTGAGTGACAAGCCTCTTAGCCAATCACACATCAATAAAACTGAGGGTGGCAAATCACAAATCTCTGTTGGTGAGATCATGGAAACACATCAATGGAAATCATTCGAGATGGATGTGAAAACACTGTATTTTTGTATGGAGCCTGCATGGGTTTGTGTCATTGTTTTAGGGCCCTACAGCGTACGTTTTGACGTATGAGCAGAACCACTATCTGAATTTCTGATTATTGTCACTGTTGAAAACAGCTGTGCCGCTTCATATTTTTGTGGAAACTGATAAACCGCCAATTTTTAAAGATTAAAAAAAGAGAAAAACTTAAAAAGTGGCAATAAAGACTTTTATAATGCTACAGAAGATTTCTGAAAATAATACAATTATTAGCCTATCAGTTTGTTTGCCAAAAAATAAAAGGGTTTAATTTTCATTTGATTTAAAATAAATGTTTAATGCCTTCATTTGACTTTCAGAAAAATTAAAACAAGAATTTCTGAAAAGGAAAGAAAGAAAAAGTTTGTTGGGCCCTATTGTTCAAAATGTTGAAATTGAGACTTTTGGACTTAATTTTTTCACTGAAATAAATGTTTTTGTAATTACACAGAGAGTAAAGTACCGAAAAAAGTTACCGTTGGGTACTAGCACCGAAATTCAGGTACCGATACCGGTACCGTACCGGTTCAAATGTGTACCCAACCCTACTAATAGCCTTACATGCAGCACAAATGTCAGCTAATATGGCTGTTTATAGGTCCGCGTGAGGGCCACACATGCTCAGTGAGACGGTAAAGAATGATTTAGCCAATTTTCAAGCATCTTTGTGTTGTTGCAATGTCAGTAGAATATGTAAATGAACAATGTGTGCTCTTTTCCCATGTTACCTGCACCCAGATCTACCAGGTTATATGTTAAAACAACAGAACGTACTTCCAGCTGGAAGTCGGATTGAGCCCGGTGCAGTATAGTTTTCCAAAGGGAAACTCTACAGCCCTTGTTCTCTTGTAATGTAGCACAGATAAAAATAAAAAAAAAAGCCTTTTTACTGCATAGGCGTCCAAGTTTTATTGTCAGCACAGTGAATCGCCCCTTTAATGTTGTTGTTTTCTCACTGATCTGTTTCAGATATCTGGGTTTCCCCTGCACCTTCCTTTCTCAGAGATTCGGCCAATCATTGAAGCCGTTCACAGCACAGGGGTTCATAAGGTCGAAGCCCCAAATGTAGAGTTTGCCCTGGCGGTCTACGTGCACCCGTACCCCGGTAACGTGCTCTCCGTTTGGGTCTACATCGCCTCCCTGGTCAGTGCACGCTAGATCACAGCAGAACACCACCAGCAACAGGGAAAAGACTTCTTGATATGCTTCATAGGAAATGAAAATGTCATATTTTAAATAGATTTTCGATTTTGTAGAGCTCCTGTGCCTGTCAGTGTGTTTTAACACTACCTCTACTACTAGTAGTTGTCTTATTTTTTTTTTTTAAAGAAACTCAGTCTAGAATGTTATTCATAAGTGTGAATTTACAGCTTTTATACTCTTACTCTGTATATTGTTCATGGTTGTACTGAATCGAGATGCTTGAAATATTTTTAAAACATTTTAATTACACAAGACTGCTAAGTTCATAATTATTATTTTTTTTGTACCAGTCTTTTAGATTGAATCTCACAAAACACACCAAAATTAGTGTTCATGTTCATGATTTTATAATATGAAAAAAAAAAATATATATATATATATATATATATATTTACAGTATTATTCATTTTTGCTTATTTTTCCCCGTAACAAAAGTTTTTACTGTATAATGAGATCTTGAGTGAAAGTTTGGAATAATTTGTTTTTATGTTTTTGTTAAAAGTTTCTTCTGCTCCCCAAGTCTGCATTTATTTGATCTAAAATACAGTAAAACCAATAATATTGTGTAATATTAATTAACTCTGTCTTCAGAGTCACATGATCCTTCAGAAATCATTCTGATATGCTGCTCAAGAAATATTTCTGTTTATTATCAATGTTGAAAACAGCTGTGCCGCTTCATAATTTTTGAGGAAACTGATACTTTTTTCAGGATTCTTTGATGAATGGAGAATTCACGAGAACAGCATTTATTTAAAATCTTTTGCAACATTATTGATGTCTTTACTGACAATTTTGATCAATATAATGCATCCTTGCTGAATAAAGTGCAATCAAGTGCAGGAGCATCATTGTTAAAACTGCTCAGCAATATATCCAGATGCATTATTGAGTGGAATGTGCTTAATTTTTAGGAAAAACAATGTTTTTGTTTTCTTTTGATACGGAGGTTAAAAAAAAATCACCTTAATATTTACTTGACATTATTTCGAGCACGCTACTAAATTGAACCAGTTGATTATTGAAGCACATTTAAATGTTGAAATGTGAAAACAATACACAATATAAGCATGTGAAACTGTAGTTCTGTAGAGAGACTTCAGCACTGCAGAGATGTTATCGCTCTGTGACTGATGTATTTGTCCGGCTCAGACAGACTGAAGCGGATCTGTCAGCAGTTATAGGCTCTGTTTGGTTTGAGTCTTGTGTTGAGACTTGTGTACAATCAAAACACTCTTTACTGAACAGACTCAAGAAGCTCAACGTTGCGCTTGTACTGTGTGCATTGTTTCTATGATCGGGACCTTGATGTAAAGACATTTTAATGGGTACTCTTTTTTTTAGCACCTGATTACAATTTCTACAAAATCACATTATGATTTATATCGTTCGCACAAAATACAGCTACCCGGTTAGTCTGCTGTCTTATACACCAAAGTTGCACATACCCTGTATTTATGAATTGTGTTTTGAATTTACAAATCGGATTTTGTAAATGTAAATTGTGCTGTGCATTTATGAATTTTGTTTTATAAATGTATTATTTTTGAGGCCGATCTGGCTCCATATTTTCATGTGTTGCTTAGAAATAATTGCATCTGTCCTGCTTCCTCTGTATTACCTCAGTGAATAATATGTGTTGTTTATAAATCCATGTCTCTGATCTCAGAAGTTTTGAAAATTCAGAACAAGTTGTTTTTTTTTCCCTGAGGAGGAAATGTTGAGAAAGTTGCAGTGTTTTCATAGCACAATGAGCTCTTTACTCTCAGATGATCAGGGCACATTTGATTCCTTATGATAGGAGCTCTTTGAAGTGGTGAATGTGACCTGTTTTTGAATCAGAACTGACCTTTTGTAGAGCTGTGTGCTGCTTTGGTAACGTTCTCTATCCCCCTACAAATAAAAGCACAACAGCATGCAAAGATAGACTTGTTGTGAAATCAAGCATTGCATTGCAGTTATTAGTAAATGACCACTAGATGGCTCCTCTTGATCATATGGGTTTAATTTATCGGCTCAAAACTGTTTAACTTGCTAAAGGCCATGGCCGCAGATCACAGCTGTATCAGATCAGGCTATCAAACACCACACACATGACCCACCTTCATGTTGAGAGGAACGATTACAGAAATAAATGAAAGCATGATCATTGGTTAAAGCTGCACAACCAAAAATGGTGGTGAGGTCGGAGCTTTTAAACGTCACACACAGATGGATGAAATAACCACTCTGTTCCATGCATAATATCACTTACATTGTAAAAACATTGTACGATTTCTCCATGCAAGTTGCAGAAAATCTGTCATTAATGACATTCAAAATGTATATATACTACAATATATAGTATATACATATATTTTGATGTCAGTATTTTTTTTTCTTTTTTTTTTAATGGATTTTTGTTATACTTTTATTCAGCAAGGATGCATACAATGTATCTAATGTGACAGTAAAGACTTTTACATGGTTACAAAAACAATTCTGTTTCAAATAAATGGGGTTTATGCATTTTTTCGATTCATTAATGAATCTTCAAAAAAAAAGTATCATAGTGTCCTGAAAAAATATGAAGCTGCAAAACTGTTTTCAACATTGATAATAATAAGATTTGTTTTTGACAATTGTTTTTGAATTGTATCGGCAAGTCAGCAGATTAGAATGAATTCTGAAGTATCGTGCGACACTGAAGACTGGAGTAATAATGCTGAAAATTCAGCTTTGATCACAGAAAAAAAAAATTACATTTCTAAATAAATTAAAACAAAAAAGTGAAATAATATTTCACAATATAGACTTAATTAATGACATTCAAAATGTATATATACTACAATATATAGTATATACATATATTTTGATGTCAGTATTTTTTTTTCTTTTTTTTTTAATGGATTTTTGTTATACTTTTATTCAGCAAGGATGCATACAATGTATCTAATGTGACAGTAAAGACTTTTACATGGTTACAAAAACAATTCTGTTTCAAATAAATGGGGTTTATGCATTTTTTCGATTCATTAATGAATCTTCAAAAAAAAAGTATCATAGTGTCCTGAAAAAATATGAAGCTGCAAAACTGTTTTCAACATTGATAATAATAAGATTTGTTTTTGGCAATTGTTTTTGAATTGTATCGGCAAGTCAGCAGATTAGAATGAATTCTGAAGTATCATGTGACACTGAAGACTGGAGTAATAATGCTGAAAATTCAGCTTTGATCACAGAAAAAAAAAATTACATTTCTAAATAAATTAAAACAAAACAGTGAAATAATATTTCACAATATAGACTTAAGGTTTTGAGCCATAAAGCGTTGTGTGACATTTCCGTTGAGTCTCGGACACATTGTTCCGTGGCATCTGATCAAACACAGCATTATGAAAATGAAATAACACTGTTGCTGTCATTATTCTGCTATAAGAACAGCAGCCCTGCTCTCTTTCATGTTTGTTTGGACACAAATAAGTTTGTTGTTGATGGTGACTTAATGTTATTTCCCTCAGGAATGTAAAAATGAAGTATAGACACTGTCTAGACATTTATGTCAGTGAGACGAGAATGAAACCACGGCAAAAACAGCCCCTGGGTGAGGTATTGTTGTTATGACATGAATACACCACATACATACTGACCGTAATGTAGCCGTACAGACAGAATCTGCAGAATCTTTCACTTTTTCCACACAGAATTTGGGGGAATTTTGCAGCATGGGGTTAAATGTGTTCTTAAAGGGTTAGTTCACCCAAAAATCAGTCAGCAGGTGTTGCAGTTGAACAGTCCACAAGTCGTCAAATAAAACGCGCGCATTCATAATAAAACGTGCCGCAGACGGCTCCGGGGGGTGAATAAAGGCCCCCTGTAGCGAATCCATGAGTTTTTGTAAGAAAAATATCCATATTTCAAACGTAATAAACTCTTTTCTCTCACTTCCGCTGACTGTCATACACTGAAGCAGTTCCGGCGGATGACGTAAGACACGCGGCGTTGCGTGATTAGTGACAAACGCGGAGACTTCTAATTCGTGACCGGCGTTTTGTTTTGTTCTCTCTCCGCATTCGTCACTAATCACGCAACGCTGACGTGCTGCGTCATCCGCCGGAACTGCTTCAGTGTATGACAGTTAGCGGAAGTGAGAGAAAAGTGTTTATTACATTTGAAATATGGATATTTTTCTTACAAAAACTCATGGATTCGCTACAGGGGGCCTTTATTTATCCCCCGGAGCCGTCTGCGGCACGTTTTATTATGAATGCGCGTGCTTTATTTGACGACTTGTGGACTGTTCAACTGCAACACCCGCAGACTGCAATGATAGAGCTTGGAATAGCCAGGACAATTTTTAATATAACAGACTGGATTCGTCTGAAAGAAGAAAGTCATATACACCTAGGATGCGTCGAGGGGGAGTAAACACAAGCTAATTTTCATTTTTGGGTGAACTAACCCTTTAATGTGAAGTTCTATGCATGTAGATTCAGTTTAGACCAAACTTTATGATAATAGATAGATAGATAAACTTTGTTTATCATGTAGACATTTGATAAACAATTCCATTTAGAGCCAGTTGGGGGCAACAGTGAACTACAGTTACAAACGCTAAATGCAGCACTGTAGTTCTTTATATTAATTCATTTGAATGCCGCTGCTGTGTTTGCATGAATGTGTGTGAATGTCATTCCATCGCTGTGTGTGTGTGTGTGTGTGTGTGATTGTAGATTATCCTGCCGAAGCCATCATTGAGATGTTGCGGTCATGCGTGAAGTCAGATGGTGAAAGACGGCATTGTGTGAGTCCAGCCTGAAACTTTGACTCTAAATCTGGGCTCGAGGAGGAACAAACTCACCCTGAAGAGAGCATGTGTCTCTGCTGAATGCTATGGTCGGGTCACGCTGGAGATGACCGGACTCTACACCACAGTAAACCGTGATGAGAGAGATAAAGGAAACACAGAATAGTGGTTTGGTGGTGCTGAGGTTGGAAAGTCCCCTTGGTCTAATGGAGAGCAGCATTAAATACAGCAGTGATCAGATCTGACACATAACTGAACCTCATACTGAGCTCAGCATAGCCAATTCCAAATCACTTTTTGGAAGTAATGAGAAAATTAACTAAAATTACTATTATTATCACT